TGTTCTGTAAGATAGCATGAAAAGATTGAAAGATTTAACATAATTTTAACAAAATATATGCAACATCTGTAAGCTTGAAAATTTTAAACACTGATAAAAACATTCAGAGAGGACCTGAATTTATAGAAAAATACACCATAGTCATGAATTGAATGGCCTGATATTATTTGATACACTTCTTCCCACACTGTATCTACAGATTCAGTGTAATCGCACTCAAAATTCCAGCAACGTTTGTAAAATAAGTTGATTCTAAAATGTATGTGGAAAGGCAAAGCAATTAGAATAGCCAGAACAATTTGAAAAGAAGAGCAAAGTTGGCTTATTCACAGTCTATGTGATTTCAAGACTTCCTATAAAGCTACAGTAACCAAGAACAGCGTTGTTTTGATGCAAAGGACTTGTAGATCAGTAGGCTAGAGTCCAGGAGTGGATCCACATAAATAGTAGTACAACAGAGTTCAGTAGAGGAATAATAGTCTTTTCCACAATTGGTTGGAAGAATTGACAACCAGGTACAAAAAAGAATCTTGACCTATATGTAGATATCCTACCTTGTACAGAAATTAACTCAGTAGAGGTTTTACTACAATGCAAAAAGCATAATTGATAATATGATAAAGTAATAAATTGGACTTCATAAAAACTAAAATCTTGTCTTCTATGTAAGTAAGATCTTGTTAAGAGAATGATAATATAACACACCAATAGGAAAACATATTTTCAAATTACATAAGTAATTATTTGTCTCTAGAATACATAAAGAATTCTCAAAACTCAGTAAATGAGCAAATAGTCCAACTTAAAAAAAAAAAAAATGACAAAAGGATTTGAATTGAATAGACCCCTCACCAAAGAAGATGTATGGAATACTGGTGGGGCACTTAGGATAAAGCACTGGACCTCAAGGTCAGCTTGAACTGCAGGGTTGGTGGTTCAAACTCAACAGCTGTCCCTTGGAAACCCTATACAGGGTTGCTATAAGTCAGAACTGACTTAAAGGCATTTAACAACAACAACAAAGAAGATGTACTTGTGGCATATAAGCCCAGGAAAATATTCTCAACTTCATACAGCTATAATTTACTTTTTTTGTAGGATTTAAATTTTTTAAAGTTGTATCTTTCGTAGTTGTATTTGTGTTCTTGCACTGACTTGCGTACACTTGGCTGGGTCTTATGTTTAGAGGATCACAATCCCAAAGTCAAAGTGTCAGTAGGTCTGTGTTTGTTACTGAAGATTATGGGGAAGAGCCTGCTACCATTGTCATTTGGATTGTCTCCTTTCTTGCTTGCTGACTGGCTGGGACCCAGTCTTTCTTTCTCACGTTGTCTGTGTGACACCTTCCAGCAGTACTAGGTCAGAACACTCACACATCTCTAACTTCTTTCTGCTGCTCGTCTCTCAACTCCAGCCGAAGAAAACGCTCTCTTTTAAAGGCTTATGTCATTAGACTGGGCCTACCTCTATAGCTCACAGTAGTCTCTCTATGTTGTTGTTGTTGTTGTTAAAGTGCCATTGAGTCGGTTCCGACCCATAATGACCCTGTACAGGGTTTCCAAGGGTGTAAATCTTTACTGGAGTAGAAAGCTTCATCTTTCTCCCACGGAGCAGCTGGTAGTTTCGATACAGTAAAGTTCATATCTGTAGTTTATCTGCAAAAAAAGTCACACGTTTACAGCGTGTGTAAATTAGAGTGGACCTCTTTTGGAGGCCATTCTGCCTACCAACAGTAAGTAATACCTAAAGTTTAATAGTTAATTGTGTATTATTAATTAAAATAGTTATAAATATAGAAATGATGTATATGGTTAGTCCAAGCATTCTGAAATAAACTATTATAACATTCATGTTTGCTAGAGTTGAAAATTTATATACTGTCTGACATCACAGCATAATTTTCTATGGAAAGGGTCATAAACTGAAATGTATTTGTCTTTAAATAAAATTTAATTGTACAACAAAAAGTCATTTATTTTGAAACTGTTGATGTTAGATGCTGTTGAGTCAGTTCTGACTCACAGCATTCCTAAGGCTGTAAATCCTCACAAGAGCAGAAAGCCTCATCTTTCTCCCTGGAAGCTACTGGTGGGCTCAAGTGGCGGTCCAGTTCTTACCCTACAGCACCGCCAGTGCTCTTTTGAGACTAACTAGCTTTATTGCTTGAAATCAGATGAATACCACCACTGCTTAGGAGAGTAGAGAAAACACACACGCCATGTCTATATCGTCTCCCAGTTTGCTCCTTAGTAGCTGGGACTTGATTTATTTTTCCTGAAGAATGTAAGCTCCTGAATGTCACAGGCTCTCACTTGTTCAGTGTAGTATCATCAGTGTCTTACACATTGAAGATGTTGAGCCAATATTTGTTGAAAATGACTGACTTCAAGAATGATATCACAATTAATAAGTACTTATTAAATTGCCACCATGGATTGATCACCCAGCTGTGACCAGTAGTGTCTGTTGTTTGGCTGAAAGGTGATCTCCAGTAGTGGGTTCAGTTCCAGGTTTGAAGAGTGTCTGAGGGCCTTGGTCTCGGAGATTCCTCCTGTCTCTATCAGACTAGTATGTCTGGTATGCTTTTATGACTTTAAATTTTGTTTTACATTTTTCTTCCACTCTGTCCAGGGCCTTCAATTGAGCTCCTGATCAGGGCAGTATCACAATAGTAACCTGGTACCATCTAGTTCTTCTGGTATCAGGCTAGTGGAGGCTCTGGTTCATGTTTGCAAGCTTTTAAGACCCCAGTCGCTATTCACCAAAGTAGGATGTAGAACATTTACTTTGTGGACTAATGTGACTTCAATTTTAGGCATGCTGCGCACTTAGATAAGGGCAAAAAACTATAGGCAGTTAAAAATCCATTTCAAATTTCTCATTTTATTACAAAAGAAAAATGATTAGATTGCAAAATTTAAAGTTAGACAAAGTCTTAAAGATCCACATTTTCATTTTATAGATGGGTAAGCTGAAGCTCAGAAATTAATTTGCTTTGTCCACACACCCATGTCCATCACAGCATTATTCACAAGAGCAAAAAGTTGGAAAGAACCTCAGTGCCCATCAACAAATGAATGGAAAAACAAGCTGTGGTACATACACACAATATAATACTTGTGGTGGTGGTTAAGTGCCTTTGAGTCGCTTCTGACTTATGGCAGTTCTATAAAGGGTTTCCAAGAGCGACTGATGGGTTTGAACCAGCAACTTTGCGATTCAAACTTGTGATCCAGTGCTTATCCTATAGCGCCATACCAGGAATCCATCCATGTGGCACTGTGCACCATTTATGAATAACAATGAATTTGTGAAACACTTAATAACACGGATGAACATAGAATACATTAGGCTAAATCAAGTAAGGTATCACAAAGGATAAATATTGTATGAGACCACTATTATAAAAAGTTAAGTGGCTTCTGTACAGAAGGAAACATCTCTTTTATGGTTACCAGGGATGAGACAGGGAGGGAAGGAAAATCACTAAGTTTATAGTAAACATGTTAACTTGGGTTAACAATATACAATAAGGGAGAAGTCAGCACAACATGACAAAGGCAAAGGAAAACACTGGAAGGTAGGTAACAATGGTAAATACTGTTGCATATACAATCCTGCAGTAACAGTAATGTTGGTAAGTGCTATTGAGTAGATTCTGACCAATAGCAACCCTATATAGGGTTTTCAAGGAGCGGCTGGTAAGCTTGAACTGCCAACGTTGCAGTGCAAACTGACTTTACAGTCCAGTGCATTGAACCACAGCGCCACACCATGACTCCCAATAACAGTAATGTTGTTGTTGTTATGTGCTGTGGAGTTGGTTCCGACTCATAGCAACCCTGTACAGGGTTTCCAAGGCTATAAATCTTTATGGGAGTAGAAAGCCTCATCTTTCTCCCACAGAACAGCTTATAGTTTCGAACTGCTGACCATGAGATTAGCAGCCCAGTTCGTAACCACTACGCTACCAGAGCTCAGCAAACAATAATTTATAAGTCGGTACATAGATAGATGGAGTCCTGGTGTGGCACTGTAGGATAAACACTGGACCTGCTAACCTCAAGGTCAGTGGTTCATACCTACCAACCACCCCTTAGAAGCCCTTTACAGGGTTCCTTATGAGTCAGAACTGACCCACAGCACTTAACAAGATGTCGAAAGTAGAGCCAAGTAAAGAAATCAGCCAAACTGAATTTTCTTATCCATGTTTACTGTTAGCCAGGAGAGACATGATTACATTCCTTTAACAAATTAGAATTGCAGCCTAGTGGTTGATCCATTGTGTATGTTAGGGTATATCAGTTAACCGAATTTTCATGGGCTTCATGCATTGTACACAAGGATGAGCTGATTTTATTTTTAGTTATCATTTCAAAAAAAAAAATTCAAGCTTTATTCCAAAGCCTAGAATACTTAGTTCCACTAGAAATGATTTCTCTTACAGTTTTATTCTGTGAAACCTAAAAGCTTTATTAAATTGAAAAATGCAGCTTGGGCTTGCCTCCTATTTTTACCTTGTGATGAAACTCAAGATATTATTAAATCATTACATTATTTTATTTCAAATAGTTTTAATATATTGTATGCCTATAGGGATTAAAACTAAAACCCAAATAAGCAGTTTATGGAAAGGGGGACGTGAGCCTTGACTATTAATGTATTGTTACACCTGAAGGGAGGTGTTGAGATCATTTCTTAGAGACCGTCTTACTTTGTAAACAAGGAAACAAGGGAATATTTCACTTGTTCCAGTTTTTATTTCCAGTTTCTAACAGAACCAGGTCTTTAAGTCGGTCTTTTTATTATAAACCAAATGCTTTTTTATCTTATATTGCATAGCTTGCTTGATGATATTTTAAGGTAAAATGGTAAAAGATAGTGTTTTGGAGTTAGTCAAACGTGAGTCCAAAAGTACGTCATTAACCAGAAGAGAAAGGATTTAAATTTGTAACCTTATTTGAAATATATGTAAATTTATTTACTATTTTTCTGTTCAGGTGAAAAGAGATTTGAATGCCCGGAATGTTCTAAAAGGTTTATGCGCAGTGATCATCTCTCTAAACATGTCAAAACGCACCAGAATAAGAAAGGCGGTGGGACAGCCCTTGCCATTGTTACCTCCGGAGAACTGGACTCATCCGTTACAGAGGTGCTTGGCTCCCCGAGAATTGTCACAGTTGCAGCCATTTCTCAAGATTCAAACCCAGCAACTCCCAATGTTTCAACCAATATGGAAGAATTCTGAAAAGTTATTTATACCGAGACCTCTAGTGCTGCACTTAAGTTTACACACCTTTGAATATCCGGAATGGGCTGGTCAAGTGGATTACAGAGTAGGAAATCGTGTTTTCATTCTTGGCTTTTATGTATTCCAAGATTTTGGGTCAACACATAAAGCATTGAATTTTTTAAATTACAGGAAGCAAATGATGTACTGGAAACAGATGGAAAAGTATTTCCTCCATATTATAAGTTGTAGCTGTTTGGAACTATATCACATAACCTTTAAAATGAATCTTCCCCTCTCTTAATATCATGTGTTAACTGTTTTAAAAGATCTCACTAGTTTGCAGGCTGGATCTTAATTAGACTTGAAAGTACTTTCTCATAAATTCAGTCAGTAATATTTTACATGTGTTTCTTTTTCTCAATAGCACAGAAAAACAGATAGTTAACTAATGATAGGGATAATGCTGTATTTCGTTGGCCTGATTATTTTGAAAATCAACTTAAAATAATTTTGGCCGTCTTTTCTAAATGTTAGAAATTCTACAGCTGAATTAGGTGAGTTCCAAAAAAGTAATCTGAGATGTGTCTCAGATCTTTATTACCACTACATTATAGTAGTGTGTATGCCGACAATCAGTGAAATCCAATTATTTTCTCCATTTGGAGACAAAAGAGGAATTTAGAACTAAATCTTAGGTTAAATTTTAGATTGAAATTTTTAGGAAAATGCTGGATAAATGGTTCAGAAAAAGAACATGAGACAGCTTAACAAGAAAAGTTGTAAAACTTAGGATTGCTATTGATTACATTTCTAACTCCAGTTTGAACCAGAAAATTCATATTAATTGTTTATATTGGAAATATTTGAATAGCATATAAGTCATTCTGTAGCTTCATCTCGGTAAGTATGAGTTATGTTGACAATGCAGAATTCTTTATGTTTGGACTATGTAGCCAAAGGAAGAATTAGCACACCTCTTCTAAGGCCAGCAGAAAATTGTCTTCTGACTCCATTTAAATTTTTTTTCTCTCTACTAAAATTGGCCAATTCCATTTATTTCTAGTACTGTGTTAGAAGATTGATAGGAAATTTATAACCATACTCTAATATCTTTATATCAGTAACTGAATTTTCCATTAAAAACAGCCTAACAAGTATATAATAGATTTGCTATTATAAAACAAAATTATTTTTTAAAAATCAGAATAATTTTCAGTCAAATAAGTGACTAAAGAAAAAAAAAAAAATTATTTCTTTGTTAATGCAAGGGTCTTACAGGAAAGGGCCTTAGGAAAACTGGCCAAAAGTTTAATTGAAAAAATTCAGATTGTACAAATAACTTAAAACAGTAAGGTGTTTCATGTTTTAAAAAAGTATTTACATAGAATCATAATTTAATAGAATTAACCATTTGAACACTAAATTTTTTACCTACTTGGTTTATTAATACCTTTAGTTTGGGGACTTTGTGAATATAGATCCATATTTTCTTGTATCTTCTCCATTATTTCAGGAAGACTAGTACTCATGCACATTCTCTTCCAAAATTGTGATGTTTCATGTACTTTTGATGAAGGAGAAATACTGTAATGATCACTGTTTACACTATGTACACTTTAGGCCAGCCCTTTGTAGCGTTATATATAACTGAAGGTCTTTTGTGCTTTCAGTTTGTATAAAAAAGCTTTGAGATTAAAGGAAAAAAAAAATTTACACTGTGGTTATAGATTTCAAGTTTCTTAAAGCTTTTGTAGACTTGTAACAGAGTCTTTAAATTTTAGTTGGATTTTGTAAATTGTTTTGTATATTTTATTTAATGTACTCTTTACAACTGATGTATCTGGCTGTAAAACATCAGAATCAATTTGTTGTTTTGTTTGGTACAGAGGAGCATTTGGTAGTGTTAATTTTAATTTTATTATATAGGAACTGAAACATCAAATATATATTTTATCTATCATTATGCTACACAATCAGTGCTATAAATTTTTTTATGCAAAGAAATTTTCTTAATGTTTTAATCATGTTTCCTCGGAGTGACTTTTTGTTGTTATTGTTAATATCAAGTATGAGCACTCTGCACCATTATCCCATGAACCCGTTTTAATGCATACCTATGTATGCTGATCAGAAATGAAAGTTATTTTTTAATCAACAGTGAGACCTATTGTAAATTTATCAAACTGAGTCTGGATAGCTTTATAGCATATAAAATATATTAATTTGTGTTAGCAGGTGCACATTTCACCACTGGAATTAGAAATATTTTGACAGTGTGTTCTGTATACCATTCGGAGTCCACTTTTCTGTCCTCTAAGAATCGTAAATTTCCGTGTCCTTTATTTGACTCAGTGGGATATAGCTGTTATAATAGGGCACAGATGTGCAGTAGAGTCTTGTTTAATGGCATTTCACTGTTCATTCCCTTTGCCACCATTATAAAACTTTTCTTTATTGTAATTATCAGTGCAAAGCTCTGTATTTATCATGGTAGAATTCCAGTGTTAGAATAGTTTTTTCTTATAGTATACTTTCTTTGGTTAGGTTTGTGTATGTGTTGCTGATTACATTAGAACTTGATGTTAAGCCATTATTTATCACACTCTCATGAGAGCAGTAATAAAAGTGTGTAATCTAGGAGAAAAAGTTAATTTGTCAAACTTAGATAAGCATGATGTTTAGGTCCTATTTTTCAATTTTATAACTGTTTTATTGCAACAATATTTGTATTTAAGTCTTCATTTTAATGCCTTGTGGTGTTTTTTTATGCATGTCACTAAGTTGTCATCCCACATAAATTGATGTGCAGCATAGGGTATTAAATCTACATAATGATTTTAAAAAAGAAATAGTTGATGGTAAAATGTAAATGTTTTGCAAAAATTCCTTATAAAAAGTTTTGTAGTAACATTTCACTTGTAAATTTTTTTTGTAAAAAAAAAAAAAAAAAACAAAGGAAAAAAAAAACAAAGATGATTCCAGAAAAGAGAACCTGTTTCCCATATCCTAGAATTTAGACAATTCTGCCAGCAAAGCCTCTGGGGCTGTAATTGACATTTTTACAGTGCTGATTTGTATAAAATTTGTTTTTTTGTGGATTTGGAAATAAAATCATGTACAAGTTGTTGCCTGCAATAACAATTGCAAGTAACCTATTAAAAATTCCCTTGAGTTTAACATGTTTCTTCATTTAATTATGTATAATATAAAGCAGCAATAAATTGTTTGAACTATCAACTTTCTTATCATGATAAACACTGGAAAGCAAATGTTTCTCAGTAGAAAACGTATTGGCAACCCTTCATAATTCCATGGTATTTGGTCACCATTTTCGGTGAACATACCGCCAAAGAGCACAATTCAAATTTAATGTTAATTTGTAGCCATTGCTCTTGACATTTATGGAAATTAAAATTTGATTTAGGGACTTTTTAACTTACATCTTTTAAGCAATAAATGTTAGAAAATTATAGAAAGATCTCAAAATGAAAGCATAATTTGGATATTATTTAATCTCACAGAAACTCTAAGAAGCAATATATAGACCATATAGATGGTACAAAGTCTATGAAACAAAGTTGTTGTCTCTTCCTCCTGGGAGAACCCTGCAATTCTCATGCAGAACCTTACTGATATATAATGGGAACATTATTATAAAAAATGCACTTATCAGATTTCCCAGCTTTCACCAGATCACCAACAGCAAAGCCTTTCCGTAGTTGGCGTGCGCACGCGCACATGCACCCAGTGACTGTATTAGCCAGGAAGTATATAGGCTCACTGACAGCTGAAACCACAGAAACATACAGATAGTACTGGATTACAAAACAAGATTCATTCCCAAGTGTGCCTTTAAGTCGAATCTGTAGGCAAGTCAAGACAGACGCATACAGGTTAGTAAATACGAACCTTTGTTGTTCAGTGTCGTCAAGTCGGTTCTGACTCATAGCGACCCTGTATAGCATTTCCAAGGAGTGGTTGCTGGGTTTGAACTGCTGGCCTTCGGGTTAACAGTACTGTGCTCATCCTACAGTGCCACACTGGGACTCCAGCCTTTAGTGCAAGAAAAAGCTGTAAACCTTTTGCATAATTTAAAAGCTTCACACACTGCAAGAGAAGATGATTATGATGAAGAATTTGCTGCAAGTAGGGTAGGTTCTATTGTTTCAAAATTAGAGCAACTGTAGTTTGTAGTTTATGTTCGAGCGTTAGGGGCTATACATATGGCTAGATAGCTTTGTACACCCAAGCCTAAGGGCATGGTTATATAAGTATTACTACTTAGCTATGGGGTCGGTACCGACTCGATGGCACCTAACAACAACAACAACTTATAATAATAGTGCATAATGATTATTCTGACTAAAAAAGCTGCTAAATTTATGCTATTCTGCCACATAAGACAGGAATACAATTTTCAAAAGATTTGTAAGTAAAGATGTTATGTTTCCAGAAAAATCCGCATGTTTAGAAGCCTCAGGAAGGTATTGTACAACAGGAATTAGTAAAAGTATAAATTTCAGTTGAGTTTTAAATTTTTTCCATGTTATAGCAACGATCTATCTGGTACTTGGACTTCTAGGAACCTCAACCACCGAATGATGAAGAGCAGTACAGAATTACAAAGAAAATGGTACAGAAGTCTGAATACTTTTTTTGTTGATGTAATAAGGCTGAAGCAATATTAAGAGCAACTCTAAAATATATAGGATGTACTTTTTTAGTAATGTTTGTAATCAGGACTTTAAAATACCAGAAAAAAATGCTAATTTATATGCAGTATATCCTGTTTTTATTTTTAAAGTTGAGATGCTTAATGAAAGGGATATGGAGGTTCCACACAAAATGGTACGGTTCAAGATGTAAATGCACACAACCACTTTGTAACTGCGAACCAGGATTTTTAATGCATGCATTTCCATTCTTTTAACAATTCCTAATTAGCCTTGGGCTGTATTTTTCTTAGTAGCAGGCAGGAGTGAAATCATTTGTTTTTGAATACCCAAGGATAATCTCAAGTAAAAATAGTTCCAAAATGAAAAACATCTTGTAATTCTTAAATTTTGTCTAAGGTAACAGTTTGGCAAATAACTAAGATAATTTTCCCAGGAAGGACAAATGTTCCAAGTTTTAGGATTACTAGACTCAGAATTTTAATAATGCCTCAATTTTCATACATAAAAACAATGTGCTATTTGTATAGATAAACTCTTTACGATAAGGATTTGAATTAGCTATGCATAAATTATATTAGATAATACACAAAACCTATTCTTGCCATCAAGTCAGTTCTGATGCATAGTGACCCTGTGCACACAAAAACGAAACATTGCCAGGTCCTGCCCCATCCTTACAGTTGTTAGGATTAATTTCATTGCTGCTGCCACTCTGCCAATTGCTAACCCTTCCATTTTACCAAGCATAATGTCCTTCTCCAAAGACTGGTCTTTACTGATCAATCTGTCCAAAATATGAGAGAGTAAGTCTCACCATCCTTGCTCCTAAGGATCGTTCTGAATGGCTGTACTTCTTCCAACACAGAATGTGTT